AAAGAAAGAAAGAAAGAAAGAAAGAAAGAAAGAAAGAAAGAAAGAAAAAAAGAAAGAAAGAAAGAAAGAAAGAAAGAAAGAAAGAAAGAAAGAAAGAAAGAAAGAAAGAAAGACACAAAGAAAGAAAGAAAGAAAGAAAGAAAGAAAGAAAGACACAAAGAAAGAAAGACACAAAGAAAGAAACAAAGAAAAAAACAAAGAAAAAAACAAAGAAAAGAAGAGGAAGGATGGAAGGAAGGAAGGAAGGAAGGAAGGAAGGAAAGAAGGAAGGAGAGAAAGAGAGAGAAGAGAGAGAAAAAGGTCCTACAATGCAAGAGTGACCCACTACGGCTAATTCAAATGAAGATAAGGACTATCTCAAACTTAGTACCTGTCCCAAGTGACATCAATGACGACCCACTGCCCTCATGACTACCAGCTTTCATGAAAGAAATCAAACAGGTTTGAGCTAAATAGCCAGAAATTATGGGGGAAACATTATCATCTTTAATTATCTTTGTCTCATAAATCTTATCCCACAGGCCAAAAGCTAGATAAAAACATTATTCTCTTTTGAATGCTTACAAAAAAAAAAAAAAAGATGGCTGGACAGATAGGTATTGTTATATTCTCTCCAATGACTGGCTTAATATCAAACCTCTTAGCTAACAGCAGGAAGTTTTAGCATACTAGGAACAGCTATATTTCATTTTCTAGACTGCAAGTTACAGGTGGCCTTTTTTCTTTATTAACAATTAAACTTAAGTTTCTCTTCCAGATCATAACTCTAAGGCACACATTTATTTCCGTAGACTTTTTGATGTTAAATTTTGTTCTCAAATTGCTTGCAAGTCCCTGAAGATCCTCAATGACTATGTGAATGTTTCCAATTCCCCAACCCTGACTGTCCCACATCTGTGTTCTGCGCTGACCTAAACAATTTGGTCTAGGTTAGAACATTTCATTCATTCCACAAAGCAGATCTATGTCATGGAGGGAGCATAATGAATTCTGAGAGCATGCTGGGAAGAAGGAAGGCAGGCAGGTGCAGACACTAGTCAGAGGAGGAAAGAGAAGCTGCAGTTTGGAAACTTAACCATGGGCTTCCATGACTTCACACATCAGCCGTGAATGGCACCAGCAGAAATACCGTACCAACAGTCTTGTGAAACTTTCATCTCACCTGCATGATTCCATGTTTCAACCAGCACCACTGGCAATATCTATGCGACCAAATTGGCGGGAATTGACCCACCAGAAACCAGACAAAGAACCAGTTTTGAGACGAACTTGCAATTTGCACACTTTCCCCAAATTGTTTTATATATAAAAGAATTGTCTGGTTCTCAACAGTTAGCAGGACAAAGCAATGTGGTTTGGATCCCTTTGGTGGAAGGTCACCATCTGAGAGTCACAGCATGTCAGCAGGTGAGGAGGCCACACCATGACCATGATATAGTAGACGGAGCACACTGAAAAAAATTAAAACCATAATATCTCATGAGGGTGAATCCCAGAGTGTGATGAGCAAATAAAGCATACGGAAGGTTCTACATTGAAGCTGATTGATTACTCAGTGGTTTTGGCTTTTTAAAAGAATTCTGACCAAGAATAAAGGAGAGGCGCTCCAGTTGCAGAAAGATGAACTCTATTCTTAAAACCTAGTAGTTCCAGAAAATGTTGTCACAGCAGATACTATTCTGGTGTTTTGTTTTGTTTTGTTTTGTTTTGTTTTGTTTTGTTTTGTTTTGTTTTGTTTAAGTCCTTAAAACAGAGAGCAGAGGGGAGCTGGAGAAATGGTACAGAGGTTAAGAGTGGTTCTGCTCTATCCCAGAAGCAGAAAGACACACTGGGTATATACTCATTCATAAGTGGATACTAGATATATAATATAGGATAAACATACTAAAATCTGTACACCTAAGAAAGCTAATCAGGAAGGAGGACTCTGGCTAAGATGCTCAATCCACATTTAGAAAGGCAAAGAGGATGGATACCGGAGGAGGGAGAAAACAGGGAACAGGACAGGAGCCTACCACAGAGGGCCTCTGTAAGGCTCTACCCTGCAGGGTATCGAGGCAGATGCTGAGACTCATAGCCAAACTTTGGGCAGAGTGCAGGGAATCTTATGAAAGAAGTGGGAGATTGTAAGACCTGGAGAGGACAGGAGCTCCACAAGGACAGCAACAGATCCTAAAAGTCTGGGCACAGGGGTCTTTTCTGAGAATGATACTCCAGCCAAGGACCACTCATGGAGATGGCCTGGCACCCCTGCACAGAGGTAGCCTATGCAGTTCAGTATCCAAGTGGGTTCCATAGTAATGGGAACAGGGACCATCTCTGACATGAACTGATGGCCTGCTCTTTGATCACTTCCCCCTGAGGGAGGAGCAGCCTTACCAGGCCACAGAAGAAGACAATGCAGCCAGTCCTGAAGAGACCTGATAGACTAGGGTCAGAGGAAAGGAGAGGAGGACCTCCCTTTTCAGTGGACTGGGAGAGGGACACAGGTGGGCAAGAGGGAGGGTGGGATTGGTGGGGGAGGAAGAAGGGAGGTACAGGGGGGATACAAAGTGAATAAACTGTAATTAATAAAATTAAAAATTTAAAAAGAGAGAGAGAGAGAGGTTCTACTCTTGGAGCGGTCCTGGGTTCCACTCCCAGAACCCTCATGGAATTTCATAACCACTGAAACTTCAGCTCCAGGGAATCCAATGTCCTCTTCAGATTCCTCTGGACTCCTGCATGAGCAAGGTGCACATACATACATACATACATGCACTCACACACACATACACATAAAATAAGCAACTATCTTCTTAAAAGAAATAAAAGTACAGGAAAGCCTTCATGCTACCCCAAACACTCAAAAACATCTTTGTGATTGTAACTAAAGGGGGTGGTGGGGTTAATGTTTAAAATGTTTAAAGGAGAAAAATACCGAAAACATTTTTTTTAAGTATTATGTTCACAATAACATGTTTTTAGTGAGAGAGGGGAGGTGAGCACTGGGCATGCGTGGAGATGAAAAAGGACAACTTTATGGGGTCATTTCTCCCCGCCCACCTCCTCTGTTTCTAGTCGTGGAACTGTCTTCTGGCTTAGACTACCAGTGCCTTTCTCTGCCGAGCTGTCTTGCCAGCCTGACTGCACAGTCTGATAGTATGCCACAGTTCCCTCCACTGTACTGGTTTGACGGCTTGAAAGGGAAGTTGAAAAGAATGCTGTTTGCCACATATTTGCAGCTCGGAGGTGCCATTTTTATCATCCCTGTGACAAGTCTGGCAGCAAACCCCATACATGTTGGGAGCCTGGGGCAGTGTTATAATTTCTGAGGAGAAAACTATAATGTCAATATGATCATAGTCAAAATCGGGAAGTCAACTAAGAGAACACAGTGGTTCCAAATTCTGCCGTTGGCAAGGACTCTCTCTGAGCACGCGCCCACGTTCTCAGTCAGTACCAGTAATCAGTTCGGGAATGCTCCCGTGCGGCCTTTGCTAGGCGTTCCTTATCACCCCAGAGAATCGGGAAGATTGTGGTGTTGTTGTTATTTAAGGTAAAAATAGATTACAGTTAAAATATCAGTCTCAAAAGAGGCAGAACTCCGAGTGGCAGCGGGTGCTGGCTCACGCTCTGACTGGAGCGCTGCTCTGAGCAAACCTGGTTGCCACCGAAAGCCCCTGTTGCCATGTGGCTGCTCAGAAGGGAAGGCGGGGGCTGTTGGCTGTCTTCTCGCAGAGCCACATCTACAAAATTTGCCAACCAAAACAGAGAGCCAGCACCAACCGCTTCCACATATCGGGACAAAAGTCTTAAAGACGTCACTGGAAGAGAATGAGGACCTGGGAAATGCGTGGTAAATCCTTCAAGCTGAACGACTTGGGTGGAGTAGCAGGCGCTGCTGCTTGGAGCCCCGTACGGTGTAGAGCTGGTTACAAACTGAAATGCCACTGCTCCAGTCTTGGTTACCTTCCTGCTACAGTTT